CGGGCCTGTATTTTCCCGGATTTGCAGATCTGTGCCTCACGAATTTCCTGACAAGTAGGTCTCTCGGTTAGCCCTCAGCCAAACAAAATTACGAATCTAACCTGTCGGGTTAGTGTACAGCCTCGCTGTCAATCTCAGCAGCAGAAATCAGCAAGTCATTGCAGGCTTACCCTCCCCGGGAGCGAGGACCTCCGAGCTAGGGGTGCAGACGAGGCGAACGACGAAGGTCACCCTTCTGAGCCGCCTCATAGCGCAGTACAATAGACTTTGCTGTCTTGATCAGTTCCCTTCTGTAGAACCACCGGTTCTCAGAAGGGGGCTGGAAAGCGAACTTGACAAGCTACTGCCGGTCGGGGCCTGTGCCCCACTCATCCTCAATGGCCACCACATCATATCCCTTGCCAGGGATTGGTGGGCCCCATTGAGGGGGCCGGTCAAGGAATGCATGGAAGACCGGATAGGTACATAGATGCAGCGGGACGTCGATAACATACGACGGGCCGAAAGGGGCAGTGCCCACTGTATCTAGGACCTGCCACGGACCCAAGTAGCGTGGCAACAGCTTCGGGGAGATATCCTCCTCCCTCGACAACTCAGAACTGGCTACCCAGACATGATCACCAGTACGGATGGGGGAAGGCCGCCTGTGGCGATTCGCTTGTTCAATCATGGCCTTTTGGGCCTTGAACAAGTTCGCGCGGGCTCTTTCCACATCCAGACGATAGCGTTTGGCGAACTCTGCGGTGCCTGGCGTCAGATCAGGCTTAGCCTTGTCGATGATATCATCAAGAGGCTGGCGTGGTTCACGTCCCCAGTGCAACCGATAGGGATTGAACCCTGTCGAGGAGTGGACAGACATGTTATACATGAGTTGTGCCCTCGCCAAGTGAAGATCCGAGTCCTGTTGATCTGGAGAGATGACAGGACGCAGCAGCTGGAATAAGACTTGGTTCATCACCTCAGCCAATCCATTGGCTTCAGGATGATGACCAGAAGTCATGTCCAGACGTGAGTGCAAATAGTCCTTGCAGTAGGACTGCCACTCATCGCTGCAAAATCTGGGGTCGCGATCACTGACGATAGAGGTGGGCGGTCCATGGTGTGTGACCCACCTCTCAGAGAAGGGTGCTCTCACAGCCGGTACCCTAGCTACCTCTGGCAAGGGGATGAACTCGGCGCATTTGGAGAACCTGTCCACGCATACCATAACCTGACGCATGCCACGAGGGGTGGTCTTGCCTAAATCTGTGAAGTTTATCGACACAGATTGGGCAGGGCCATCAGGTATGGGTAAGGGTTTGAGCAATCCCAAAGGAGGTTTACGCTAAACCTTGTTCCTTTGGCAGAGCTCACAGGTGTCCACATAACGCAGCATCTCATTCCGCATCTCCTTCCAAAAGAAGCGCTGCGACAGGGCTGCATAAGACTTTAGGAACCCAAAGTGTCCACGGGCATCATGACACTCTGACAGCAGCAGTGTCCCGAGCCGCTGATCCTGGGGAATGCACAAGCGTTCCTCACCTCTGCTATAGGTGTACAACAGGTCTGAACTCAGAGCATAGCCTGGTTCAGAGTTAGGATCTGCTTGCAGATTCCTGACAATGGGTCCAGAAGTCTCGTCCTGAGGCAGTAGACGAGCAATGGTCTGACGGGTCTCCTATCCTAAGGAGTCAGTAGAGGAGATCAGAGCAAAAGAGTCAGGCCTACGAGAGAGGGCATCTGCTACCTTATTGTAGCAGCCCTTCTTGTGTTTCAGTTCAAAGTCAAACATGTCTATGAACTGAATGTACCGTGCCAATTTATCGTTCAACTCTCCCTGGGATTTCATCCACTGTAGGGTGGAATGATCTGAAAAGATCTTGAAGTGCCTGCCCAGGAGAAAGTGCTTCCAATGTTTCAGGGCACAGACAAGAGCATACAACTCTTTCTCGTAGGTAGAGTCCTGGAACTTTTGAGTCTTGATCTTCTTACTCGTAAACTCGACAGGCCGTAGACCATTCCCATCATCCTGCTGAAGCACTGCCCCAGAGCCATACTGACTAGCGTCAGTGGTCAGGATGAATGGCAAAGTGGGGTCAGGTAACTTTAGGACAGGCGCACGAGTCAAGGCCTTCTTGAGTCGTGTGAAGGTCAGCTGACAGTGGAGGGACCAAAGAAAGGGAGTGTCCTTCTTTGTTAGGTTAGTCAGGGGTGCAGCCACTGCATAAAAGTTCTTGACAAACTTTCTGTAGTAGGAGGGCAAACCCATGAAGGACCGGACATCCCTCACTGTCTGAGGTTGAGGCCACTCCTGAATAGCAGCAACCTTGGCTGCTTCAGGAGCCAGGCCATCTCCAGAGATTACATGACCCAGATAGATGACAGAGGGAACTCCAAAAGAGGACTTCTCTTTGTTGATCTTATACTGGCTGTCACGTAATGACTGAAGAACTAGAGCCAAGTGCTCCGCATGTTCCCTGGCAGTTTTGCTGAATACCAGGATGTCATCCAGGTAGACAACCATAAACTTGTCCAGGTAAGGCCTGAAGATGTGGTGCATCTCAGTCTGGAAGGTGCCTGGGGCATTGCAAAGTCCAAATGGCATGACCAGGAACTCGTATGTCCCATACCTGGTCTTGAAGGTTGTCTTGTAGACATCCTCCTCTGGTGGTAGCCAGATTTGAGGTCGACTTTCCTGAACACTGTGCAGCCCTGCACCATGTCCAGGAGGTCATCGATCCTAGGAAGTGGCTCAGTACTCTTCCTAGTGATCTTGTTGAGACCCCTGTAGTCAATGCACATTTTGAACTCGCCGTTCCCTTTGGGCACAAAGAGAACAGGTGACCCGAATTCAGATGTGCTAGGTCTGATCCAGCCTTTGCTGGTCAGGGTATCAAGCTGCTTTCTGAGCTCCTCAAGCTCAGCAGGGGACATCCTGTAGACTCGACCCTTAGGAGGGACCGCTCCAGGCAGCAGCTCGATGTGATGCTTGGTTGGCCGGTTGGGTAACTCAAAGGGCTCCTGCATCAGATCAGCATATTGATCCACTACCTGCTGTATCTCAGGAGGACAGGAAACAGGGAGAGCATCTGTTTGCTTGACCAAAGCAATGAACAGACACTCATGGTGGTACTGGCGAGAGAGAGCATGGAACTCCCTCGCTCTCAGGCAGTAGCAGGAGGTCTTAGGGTGGTGATCAGCAGCAATCATGCATTGCTGATACACCCCCTGGCTATCTGGTAGTTCAACTCTAGGAATCTGCCAGTCGATCCTAGGGTTGACTGCCCTCAACCACTGCATGGAGAACACCAACTCAAAGGGCAGCTCAGGGAAGACATAAAAGTTCAGACTGTGTTTGACTTTCCCAGCAGTGTCAAAGGTCACTGGAATGCCTTTGACTTTCTCCGTGATGCTGATCACTGTAGAGTCACCAATCCGCACTTGCAGCGGCTGCTGCAGTGCTGAACTTTCATACCCAGGTGCAGCTTTTTAACTGCACTGGGAGATATGAAGTTCCGGGTAGCTCCACAGTCCAAAAGCCCAGTGATCCTGGTGCGGCTGATCAGTGGCCGAAGCATGAGTTCAGACAGGCCCTTCTTCTTCTGCTCTCTTAAGTGGAAGAAGAAGGCAGCAATGGACTGAAGCTCATCCTGCCCCGGGTCCTGATCCGGGTCAAGATCCTCATAGCAGAAGGATGCTGCCCGCGCAGTCCCCAAACACACATCATCACAAATAGTCTCAACTGAAACAACTGCAGATTCACCTATCTGAATAGATGAAGATGCAGCACTGGAGGGAACTGCAGTCCCCAGGGTCTGTTTCAGTTTTTTGACTGACCCGGGCCTGGCATGTAAGGGCAGTCCTTTAAGAACTGCTGTCCCTCACATCTCAGGCAGACCCCCTTCTCCTTTCTTCTTCTCCAGACTCCCTCTTGGATCTTGAGGTCATGCGAGGGAAGTGTGGAGGGATTGAGGGGGTCAGCTGGCATGTGGACGTCTCTAGGCAGGTTAGGGTGCTGGGAAGAGGAAGGACGACGTCCCTTATCCTTCCCCTTGGTAGTGGCTGAGGCTGTGGGGGTGGAAAACTTTCTCTGCGACTGCAGAGCACCCAAAACAGCCTGAGTCACTACTGCTGCAACATCTGTCTCAGCAGCAGATCCGATCCCCCCTGAAGGCACATCAGGTTGAGAATCGGTATCTGATCCTGAGGCAGATCCCGCGTGATTAAAGGCTGCCTTTCCCCTTTTGTTGCCTCTAGGGAAGGCACCTTTCCTCCTGTCAGAGGTTGGGGCCTGGACATGGAGCTTGGCCTCCATTTCCAGGGTTGCACGACCAAAGGACCTCCAGTCCTTGTACCCAGCGCTGTAAAGTGCAACCGCGAACTTCTCAGGCGCTGCCCTGCAAAAGCTGGTCAACATATCATAAGGTGCCATGACCAGCCCAGGGGTGGAGGTGAGCTGCTCGAACTCAGCAAACAAGGCCTGTAGGGTACCGTTGTACCGTTGCTGTCCCAGGCGAGCAATCCTGTCAGCAGCCTTGCGGGCCCGCTCGTTGTCTGCAAACCGGTCCTCCAGGGCCTGCAGAAGTCTGTCTACCCCCAACCCAAAGGCCCAGTCCTCCATGGACTGCTGCAGACTGCTGGAAGTTGAGGTGGCCCACTTCAGTGCAGGCCCTTCCAGCAGCCCCAAAACAGTCGCCACCTTGGTGTGTTCTGCACAGACAAAGCCCCTCAAGTAGGCTTTGGTCCCAGCAGCCCAGTCCCCAACATCAGTCTTGGGGTCATCGCCCCTGAACTTGTTGGGGGCAGGGATCTTGGGACCTCTGTCCGCTGCAGTCACAACAGCATAGGTGGCCTTTGCTGAGGCCTTCTGGGAAGGAGTAGATGCCCGGGAAGAATGTACAGATCCCCCATGAGATGAAGGAGGGGAAGGAGGTGGTGAAGGAGGAGGAGAGGTTTTGGGTTTCAGCAGAGGGAGCTGAGGAGTAATCAGCTTGGCGGCTGCCAGCTGAGCAGACAAGCCCTGGATAGAGTCCAGGATCTTGGACTGCTGAGCTGACAGCTCGTCAACCCGACGCTCCAGTCTCACAAAACGGTCATCCCAGTTTGTGAACTGGGAGCTGGTGATCTTGTGCTCCAGCAGGATCATTTCAGCTATGTGCTTGGTGATTTGGGCACAACGGTCATCCGTGAGTGACTTCTCTAGCTGCTGCAACAGATACTCCCTTCTGGAGTGATCTGTTGCAGCTTCTAGCTCAGCAGCCTCTAGCTCAGCAGCCTCTAGCTCAGCAGCCTCCAACCGTTCCAATTCAGCCACTCTGGCCTGTTGCAGCTTTAGCTGTTCTTCTGCCTCCTCCTTCAGCCGCTGAGTAGCAGTCAGAGGTGGAGGGGAAGTAGTGGAGGAAGAAGGTTGTTCACCTTCTGCCTTCACCACCACGTCGACATCTGGCTACTGCTCATTCCCTTGATCCGACATTTTCCCAGTTCAAATAAAATCCAAAAATAAAATAACAGCAGAAAGAATTGCAGCGATACACAGATTCCTGCAGATACCCTGGAATCGCTGCCACACTCAACACTGGAGTAGGTGGGTGAGTAGGCAATCAACGGTTTGGGGTTAGAAGGGTGTCTCTGGGGTCAGGTGTCAGAGAGACTGTTAGTCCAGCAAAATCAGCCACACGATTTCCTTTTACTGACCCTAGACCAACACTGGAAGTCACACAGTCACTCCACTAGTCTTTCCGAGACCCACTATAAGTTCTAGTGTCCACTAGAAAACAAATGTAATCAATGGGAATGATAGAAATGGTTAGTACAGACACAGAGACATCAAATGCCACAAGCGATGCAGACAGATACCCTGTAACCTAGCTCAGACTCAATTTCAAACCCTTATTTCTCTGGCGGCCATACCCTAGGGTATGGCGAATCACAGTTTTCACTGTATCCAGTGAAATACTAGAAATCCAACTCTGCGATTTGACAGCACTGACTGTTTTCCATTTGCGATTTACTGGGGACTGACAGAACTGAATTCTGATAGACAGAATTGAAGTTATGACTGACCCTAGGTAGCACAGGCTAAAAATAGACTCAACGCAAAACAGCAATTCCCAGTATCACTACCTTTCCAATACAGAATTCACTGTTTGAGCATCCTAGGATAATCGCCATACAATATAACTGTCACAGGACAAGTTTGGACTAGAAAGAGTCAACAAATGATGAGATATGAGCAGAGGGAGATAGGGAGAGAGATGGCTATGGCTATCATGCAGTCTGCGATTTTCATATCCAGTCGCTGACAGACAGATAGACCATAATCTTTCACTAATCTACTACTATCTGGATCGCAATACAGGTAGGTGCATGGAACGGACTCACTTGCAGAGAATCTTGCAGGTGATGATGAAGATCTGGCTATGGCTGGTGATACCCTGATCTCGCCAATTTCCTCCAGAGCTTCTCCTAGACAATCCCACGCATAAAACCTCCCCAAAATTGTTGATCCTCCTCAGGATCCTGTAGCGCTGCACCTCTTTACTCCAGATACCCTGTATCTGGTCCTGTGGCACCCAATTCGCCAACTCCAAAATATCTCGCCACAGTGTCAGGTAGCCGCTGATGCTAAAAATAGCCCCAGATGGGGTTATTTTTCCTAGAGATTGATACAGGATGTCAATCTCATCCAGCGCCACCCAGGGATGCTGCCGCTCAGGGTTCCCTGATGTCCTCAGGGGTAATTCGCCACTCTGGGGTAATTCGCTGCATCACCCTCAGGGTTGGCTATGGCGAATTAGCCCTGTACTCGCCACTTCTTGCCAAGCGCTCTGACAGGCTCAGTGCGCTTGTTCAGTACAGCCACTGAACACTTGAATCTACCGCTAAAAGTCTTCTTCCCTGCTGACTCAGTACTGGGGAAGATGAATCGCCATGAAACTCTCGCCAGTATATCGCCAGGATGAAGAAGATGCCTCAGTGCGCTCAACCCGCAGTGCTCCAATTCCAATCTCGCTCCGATACCAACTGTTATGAACTTGGTTGTTTGGCGAATTTCTCGCCACTCACACACAGACAGTCTCATACATGCCCATACATGCACAAGAGATGGGGAGAGAGGAGACAGAGTCCACACTGCACGCAGGTGAAGATAAACAGCGGAAGACAATTATGCACAGTAGGGGAGAAGACACCCAGTGTTTCTCACTCTCTGACACAACTCCTAACAACCAATCACAAGAAAGAACCTGCGAAGATCACAATTGA